GTTTACTAGCACCAGGTAACAACAAATATTCCTGTGAGCCATTCACTGACCTGAAACTTCTGTTGGAGAAGCTCACAAGGTTAGTAGAGCCTCAGTGCGTAAGGGCTCTCAAATTTAAACCCTAATAATCTCTATCCGTAGGACACTAGTTCTGCTGTTCTGGTTTCTTCAGCCTTATTGTTTGCTGCCAGGCCCCTTTAACAGATTAAATCATTCTCTGACTGTTGAGTAATAAATACCACAGTTTATTGTTAATACATGGCAAATAGATGCCCTAGACCCCTCTGACTTGGTCTGATTTTACAATGAACACCTTTTTTCTTTTTTTTTTTTAAGATTTTATTTATTTGAGAGAAAGTGAGCAAGCGGGGGTGGGGGAGGAGGAACAGAGGGAGGGAGAGAATCTCGAGCAGACTGCACTGAGCGCAGAGCTTGATCGCTTACCAGAAAACAGTGGATTTATATAAATTATAAGCTATATGTAGCATCCATGCCCTGTAATGTCTAGTGTATTTATTTGTTTTGGGGGGCTTTTTTAAAGACTTATTTATTTTAGACAGAAAGAGAGGAAGAGAGAGTGTGAGCGGGGGGAGGGGCATTGGGAAAGAATCTCAAGCCGACTCCCCAGTGAGCGTGGGAGCCAGATGCTGGGCTCAATCCCACGACCCTGAGATCATGACCTGAGCCGGAATCGAGAGCCGGGCACTTAACCAACTAAGCCACCCAGGCGCCCCACAATGAACACCTTAATTTTACTTCTTGTCACTATTTCCTAGAGATGCTAAAAGCTATAAACACAGTGGGCCATCCCTGGGGGATAAATTCCCTAGTAAATGTCAGTAGGACTATTAACAAAAAGAAACTAACACAACACTGCTCTTACTGCTGTTTGGACCCTGCATACTTAACTGCTTGGTGCAATTTGTGTCCAAGCACACTGAGGCTATAAAATTACAAATGGTAGTAACACGGGGATATGAGCAGCTTGGGGTTAAACCTGGACACCCACAAGCATATCTAAAACTAGCGGAGGAAAAATTCTGCTCCTCAGTCAATCCTTAGGATATGCCCATGTCTAGCAGGAAAGTAGCTCCAAAAGATAGACCTTTTCCGTGTGCCCCTCAAGAATGAGGGGAATAAAACCAGAGGAGGGATTTGTCACCAGCTAGACCCTGAGACCGGACCTTTACTGCCCACCTGCCTGTACCCAGCGAGCTTTGTCCCACATTTTCCTTAAGCTCTTCTTTCCAGCTTATCTTTCAACTCAGGCAAAAGACCTCATGGGCACAGCCCCCCAATAATGGAAACTTCCTCAAGGATTAAGGACTGGGCTCTGACAAAGAGCTCCAGTGGCCCAAACCAGTTTGAGCTTAACCTCCAAATCACACCTGCAGATGGACAGTTACCTTTACCTCATGATAATACTAAAGAGGGAGGAGCAGACCCCCTGCTGAGGTGGGCTCTATCCCAAGACCCTGAGATCCTGACCTGGGCCAAAGGCAGACACTTAACCATCTGAGCCACCCAGGCGCCCCCATAAGATAATTTTTAACACACTAATATGCTCTAATGTATTCTCTAGCCCTGAGGTAAGAGGATGGCATATGAACCACAAAACCATTGTAAATACTGTGTTTACCCAAGATAACTTGTCAAATGAAGGCATCAATACAGGCATACACATTTTTGAGAACTACATTTATATCACACAGTAGAAGTTGTGTCTATTTCTTACATGGAAAGTTTTGGTGGATTACAAATGTACTTATCAAATTCTAATGTGAGTTAGAATTTCACAACAGGCACTGCAGATCTTGCGAAAATGCAGATTCTGTTCCAGACTTCTGGAGTGGGATCGGAGTCTGCATTTCTAACGGAGGCAGGAGCCTATGGGCCAAGGGATACTTTTTTTTTTTTTTAAATAACAAAAAGGTAGAACTCTAAGAATTCTTGGAGGACTTGGAACTGAAGGCATTTTATTTAGCAAGAACGGCACAACAATACTTTTTGAGCATTTACTGGTTACCAGATAGCATTCTAATGAGTTTTCATAAATTAATGCACAAAGAAGTAATAAAATCTAACAGAACATGTTCTTTTTATGAGAATATTTTGACAAACATCCAGTACATGGAAGGGATTAGTTTTTAATCCAGGCTGTCTGACCTAGAATCGATCTAAAATGACACCCGGGACAGTAATACAGAGACAAGCCTGCTGCAATCCGAGCAGAGTGATGGAAACAAGAAGGCACCGACACAAAATGGATCTACTTTTTACATTTTATGCACACATCCACACATGTAAAAAGCCATTACATACACATTAAAAGTGACAGAGTATAAAACTGTCATAGTAACTGAAGAAACATTCTCAATGGCATAAAACTTATAAATCCATGTGTGGATGATGATGCTTCTTTTAATCACACTATAAAGACAAACACACAGAATGCTATAAAGAAAACAGCTATACACTGTATGTTAACTAACTAGAATTTAAATAAAAATTTGGGGGAAAAAAGAAAACCGCTAACATTTCTGAGTCTAGTATTTCACTGAAAGTTTTCTTCCAATAACCATTTATGCTATGTTAGGTTTTAGAATTTTAAGGTACTCAAACATGTTAATTACGTGATTCTGGTTTTCCTTTTCTGAAAATACAAAGAATAGAGTGTGTCTGAGACATGGGTGTGGAGTGAAACAGAAATTCGTAGGACAACGGCCTGAATTCTTTACAAACACCACTCCCAGCAGTCCGTTACCTCCGGTGCACAAGAGAGAGAGCCCTCATTTTCCATTGGAAACTACAAGCAAAGAGAAACTCAGAAGAAAGGAGTTTCCAGTTTCAATGTGATGGCTTCTGCACACCCTGCAGTAAATCCATCCAATCGTTATGAATGATTAAGAGATAAATTCACGTTATATAGGAGGAATCTGGCAGAGAGCACCAAGCCAAGTAAAAGAAGTTACCGTCAGCTGTAATAATAAGCAAATTGGTATCATTGCCTGCAGCACAGGGAAGGACTTATTATCACTGCCCCCAAATCAAAATTATGAATCTAATTATGAGGAAAGAGTGGATTTATACAAATTACAAGCCACATGCAGCGCCCACATCCTGTAACGTCTAGTGTATTTTTTTTTTTTAACGATTTGAGAGAGAGAGGGAGAGAAAGCGCGAGTGGGGGGAGGGGCAGAGGGAAAGAATCTCAAGCAGACCCCCCGCTGAGCGTGGGAGACAGACGCTGGGCTCAATCCCACGACCCTGAGATCATGACCTGCGCTGAAATCAAAAGTCGGTCTGACACTCAACCGACTGAGCCACCCATGCGCCCTTCTAGTGTATTTTAAATAGAGCATCTCTCTTGCACATTCTGAACAGCAAGGCTGTGTCTTTTCCAGAACTTTCGGAGTTATCTGGGACACATACCCATCCTGCTTCTTTGTGCATTTTCTTAATCCCGGTGTACACACAGCCACTGAAGTATCCAGATGCGACCTAACCGTGAAATGTTCCCCTTGACGGACACCCCAGGGCTCGACCGCATCCACGACAGAAATCTTTAATTCGGGGCGCCTGGGTGGCTCAGTCGTTAGGCGTCTGCCTTCGGCTCAGGTCATGATCCCGGGGTCCTGGGATCGAGCCCCGCATCGGGCTCCCTGCTCGGCGGGAAGCCTGCTTCTCCCTCTCCCACTCCCCCTGCTTGTGTTCCCTCTCTCGCTGTGTCTCTCTCTGTCAAATAAATAAATAAAATCTTTAAAAAAAAAATCTTTAATTCAATGGTTTCCCCCTGTGACTCTGTCACAGAGGGAACATTTCTGACGGATACAAGACATTAATTCAAAATGACAACCGCTCGCGTCCTACTGGAAGCCAGGTCGGAGGGAAGGGAAAGAGGGCTCCGGAATACAGGAAAGTATCCTAAAGAGCTACGCTTTAAAAAAAAAAAAAAAACAGATTTGATTTTATTTTAGGAAGAGGGAGGGTGCGTGCATGCGCCCGTGAGCAGGGGGAAGGGGGTGAGAAGGGCAGGAGGAGGAGAGCAGCGAGCGGGGAGCCCCACGCGGGGCTCGACCTCAGCACCCCGAGATCGCGACCGGAGCCGCGTTCAAGAGTCCGGCGCCCGACGGGCTGAGCCGCCCAGGCGCCCCTCGGGATCCTTTTAAGAAGGTCTTTAAAAATCGGTGAAAACACGGAGACAGCGACATCCGTACTGAAGGAATCAACGTTCCAACTTCTGCGCGCTTGGAATTTCGGGAGAAAACGATGACAAGGCCTCCGACGTGGGACGCAAGGCTTACCTGAGAATTAGCCATTTCTTCTCCTCTGCCCTCGTTCTGCGGGGTCCTTTCTCGGAGGAGAGCTCGTGGGGGAATCACAGCCGCATCGGGAGAAAATGCCCTCAAAGCCCCCGACAGAGCCTCCGCCCCCGTGAGCCGGTCGCCTGCAGGCAGGACCGTGAAATGCACAAAAGGCCCGACTTCCCAGTCCTTTGTGTCAGGAGCCGTGCGCAGACAATGAGCTCCCGGTCGCAGACCGGCCCCCGCGTCTCCCCGTCTCCGCTTCCGTCAGAGCAGGCGGCGGGCTCCGTGCGGCCCGGACACCTGGAGAACCGCAAACCGAGCGGCGAGGCCACGCACCGGCGAAGTGAGGGGCCCGCGCGGGCCGCGCGCCACAGGAAGCCGGATCGCGCCGGCCGGGCCCAAGATGGCGGGCGCCATGACCGGAAGCGCCCGGCCAAATAAGGAAGAAAAGGCGCGGAAACCCTGCTCTCGAGAAATTCCCAGCCCGAGTCACAAACAGTCCACCCCCCGGCCGACAAGCGTCGGTCACACGGAGCAGCCCGAAGCCCGGGGCGGCGCGGTCTCCGTCGGGGTCTCCCGCTCGCACAGCCCGAGAGCGTACTTTGCTTCAGCAAGCTTTCCTGTTTGTGTCGCGCATTTGCTGTGCTCTGCACGTCCCTGAATTCTTTCTTGGGACAAGAGGACGACACTTCGGCTGTATATTTGGGACGCGCTGCATCGAGGCCCCCGGGTCTCCCCGGTCCGCCCGGCAACACTTTCAAGGGGCCTCCCCTCGCACAGGCGCCCGCAAGGTCTACAGCCTAGGAGCCGTGTGCTGCCTGGACCTGACCCTCCCGGACTCGTGTCGCAGAGACCCTGTGTCCTCTCCTTGAGCCAGAGCCTGCTCGCCACTCTCATAAAAATAACCTCAACCCTGGCCTCACTTAGAATCACCCAGGGCGGGGCGCCTGGGTGGCTCAGATGGTTAAGCGTCTGCCTTGGGCTCAGGTCATGGTCCCGGGGTCCTGGGATCGAGTCCCACGTCGGGCTCCCTGCTCCTTGGGAGCCTGCTTCTCTCTCTCTCTCTCTCTCTCTGTCTCTCATGGATAAATAAATAAAATCTTTAAAAAAAAAAAAAAGAATCACCCGGAGCCCTGAATGAACACAACACGTGCGTTTTCACCCAAAGCAATGGACAAAATCTGAGGGGGAGGCCACCACATAGGATCCTTTTTGAGACTCCACACGTGATCCTGTTGGGAAGCATTTGGGGAGGTGACCAGGCACCTTAATCTACTGGATATTTAAAATAACCAGTCTAGGGGCGCCTGCGTGGCTCAGTCCTTAAGCGTCTGCCTTCCGCTCGGGTCATGATCCTGGGGTCCTGGGATGGAGCCCCGCATCGGGCGCCCTGCTTCTCCCTCTCTCGCTGAGTCTGTCTCTGTCAAATGAATAAATTTTTTAAAAATCTTAAAAATAAATAAATAAGGGGCGCCTGGGTGGCTCAGTCGTTAAGCGTCTGCCTTCCGCTCGGGTCATGATCCTGGGGTCCTGGGATGGAGCCCCGCATCGGGCGCCCTGCTTCTCCCTCTCTCGCTGAGTCTGTCTCTGTCAAATGAATAAATTTTTTAAAAATCTTAAAAATAAATAAATAAAAAAAAATCTTAAAAGTAAATAAATAAAATAACATAACCAGTCTAAAATAATCCTTATGCCAAAAAAGACATATTTGGGGGTTACAAAATGCTCCCCTTCATGTGGAAGCAAAAGCAGGAGAAAAAGTTAAATATCCTTACTTCCTACAGCCCATTGACAAGTCCTTAAAACAGGTAGAGTGAAGCTCAGCGGCCTCTATGTTAATACTTTGCTAAGGGCAAAAGCCAATCTTAGCTTAACATTATCCCAAACACCCACCCTCACCCCAGGATCCTGTAAGTCTACTTTAATATATAAAAATTCTTTTGGAAACTTCCGTTTTCTCTACCCCCCCATGATACATGTTGGCAATCATCCTCCAAACATATGGCCCACTGATACACATCTGAAGGGCCTCATGACTAAGGGTCTTATTAGATGGAAATAAATGCCCTTTACCTAACCCCTCAAGGTCCTGGAAATCTTGCTTCCAAAATTCCTTAGAGACTTACTTATCCCTAACCCCCTCCCTATTTGAAAGTATATAATCTGCCTCTCCTCATGACCCCGGTGTAGCTCTTTCAGCCCAGGGATCCTGTCCCATTAATAAAAATGGTGAGTAATAAAACCACCTTTTTGCACCAAAGATGACTCAAGAATTCTTTTTTGGCCGTGGGCTCTGAACCCCAACATATTTTCTACATCATCCTTTAGTAGGTAAATGTTTATTTTCATGAGTAACTGCCAGTTTTCCAAAGTGAATGCACTTTTTACACTCCTATCAGCAATATATGAGAATTCTAATTGCTCAACATTTCCACTGAAATTTGATGTTATCCTTTTTTTCTCTATGTTAGCCATTCTAGATAATAGTAAGTGCTTTCTCACTGTAAAATATGAAGTGGTCGGGCGCCTGGGTGGCTCAGTTGGTTAAGCGACTGCCTTCGGCTCAGGTCATGATCCTGGAGTCCCGGGATCGAGTTCCGCATCGGGCTCCCTGCTC